CTGGGGGATTGAACCGCGGTCCCTGTGCTTTGCTTAGCTTAGCTTGTTCTAAGTAGGTGCTTTAGACCACTGAGCCATCTCACCAGCCCATATTTAAGCTTTTATATCTGATCTATTTCACTTAACATTATTGCAACATACATGTATTTATTTATTTAATGTATTTGGTACCAGGTCTTGCTACACAACTGGGACCCATAGTGATCTTCCTGTCTCAGCTTCCTCAGCATTGGGATTACAGGCATGTGCCACCATGCCCAGTTTCAGTGGTTGGGTCGGTGTACCTGGGGAAGGGCCGGCGGGGCATGTGATGCAGGGGATCAAACCCTGAGTCCCTGTGCTTGACAAACAGGCGTTTAGACAGCTGAGCTATCTTGCCCGACCCACAACCTGTATTTTTGAGCTTTTTTTTGTTTGTTTCTTAAAGTCAGCAACCTTATATTTTATTCATATTTCAGCCGGGACTTTTTCTTTTGTTTTTGTAATTGATAATTTTGTCTAGTTACAAAAGCATTCAATAATTTACAAAGTCTAATCTATTTTTATATGTTCTATCATGAAGTCATTATCTTGTATCATAAGATATAATGGGAATGTATAGGTTATTGTTCGTGTTGGAAGGATAATAGTCTATTTTTTAAAAAATTAACTCTTTTGGAGTGCAATTAAAAATTATAAATTAGGAAGGCTCATCTTGGAGGGATTTGGTAAATGTATATCTATATATGTAACTGTCACAATTGTGAAAAATTTCTTTGTACTGAAAATTTTTCTCATGATCTTTTGCCATGAGCCACATCTTCAGATACTGACAACCACCACTCTGTTGTATACATTGATACTACATGATACTGCCTTTTTTTTTTTTTTTTTCTGGAAAACTGTTTATAAATGGTATCAATATAGCATGTCTAGGTTCCATGTTCAGGTTCTTTTACTTAGTTTAGGTTTTATTGTTTGTTCATTTGTTTTGTTTTGTTTGGACAGCTCAGCCTGCCCTTAGGGCGGGACTGGTGCAGCATGTGGGGGGATCAAACCAAGGTTCCCTGCACTTTACCTAAGCTTGCCTAAGCAGGCACTTTAGACCACTGAGCTATCTTGCCGGCCCAGCTTAGTGTTTTTGAGTTTCTTTTTTTTTTAGGATCTTTTTTACTTTGTTTTGTCTTAATAACCCACAGATGAGAAGAAAAAATCCTTTCTTTTCTGTTTTTATTTTTTTATTTTAATTTTTTAATAGATTGCAAATTGAAAATAATTTTTTTTTTCACATGTAACCCACTTTATTAACATAAACTGAGAAGCTCTTGAACCTTGTAGCCATTAATAACTCAGACACATAGGAACATGCCAGAGTAAACTGAAAGGCTCT